TGCAGGCTTTTGAGTTTTGACAATGTCCATAAGTACTAGATTAACAAACAAATGATTTAGCCAAAAAAGGATGGATTAGAGGAGAAAGCGAAGAAGACCTCACACTTTTCAAACTAGATAATTCCCAAGAAAAAAAGATTGAATGGAAGGGCAATCAAGCCTTCTGACACTTCCATTTATAGATTCCTATTTTAACATCATATAAACCATGGTATGCAATTTCGAATGGTACCACCCGGTACAGGCAGTACGTACCGGTCCGATAGCATACCGGTATGCGGACCGCCCGCTACCGAACGGACCGTGCTACAGTGCTATAGTAAGAGGAAATCGCTCGGTAAACCCTGGTGTACCGTTCGATACGCCCTGATGTACCGTTCGGTACACCCTGGTGTACCGCTCGATATGCTGGTACCGTACCGTACCGAGCCAACCTCGAAACACCGGTACGGTACGGTATTGCATACCTTGATATAAATAAATCTGCATGTGTTATAATCCCACATACAAAAGGAGGCCCAGCAATAGAAGATACCAATACGAAGGAGGCGAAGGAGGAGATAGTGGAGGAAGAGGCATCGGTGCAAAGGGGTGGGGAGGAGAAACCTAATTAAATCTGCATGTATGTCCGTGTCTTTTGGTTTGTTCATACATTGCATAGCATGTAGAGGGACGGTCGAAGACTTAACAACCCCAATTTAATTAGGTTTGGTGGTCATTTTGGGCTTGTAAATAAAGGTTGTATCATGTGGACACTTATGGGAGATTTCGATTTGTAGTGGACCATTTGAACCCTTTGTTGTGTAACCGTTCAGAGCTTGTAAAGTCTGTTTGTAATTTGCACTGGCTATGAAGTGTTTTCTGAAATGATTGTTTGTGGATCCCGAGTAAGGTGCTTTCTTTAACCCGTTTTCTCTTTTGTAGATCCTAAAGGACCATAAGAGGTCTCAAGGAGGCTGACCTTTACGGACAGACACGTAAGGGTGTGCACGACTTAGGCAAAACCAACTAAGTCCGTGACAGATGATATCAGAGCGAGACAAGCACTCATAGAAACACTTAGCATGCAAACGTGGGGGACCTAGCGAGGCTACGTTGAAGGCAACCAGCACGCGCAATCATTTGGGGGAAAGCGGGCATGGAGATGTAGGGAAAAGGAGTCGCTCAGAGGAGCGGGCATCTGAGATTGGCATTCAGAGGAATGGCCAACCTTTCGCGCAAGTGGCACCACGAGGATAAGTAAGCTGGGAAGAATACGTAGTGCACAAAGGTTGGGATGGCTGAGTTTGAGCTACGGCTCAACGTTGGCAACCATACTTAATTGTGCTCAAGGCAAGCGAGGCGCTTGATAAAGGATGAGACCATGTAATGTGGAATGGGTTGTTCAGTGACCGAAAGAGTTGTGCAAAGCTCACAGAGGTGAGGGGAATTGCTAACTCGAAGAATTTGGTACTCATGCAAAGGCCTGTATGCGAATGATATAGAGTGTTCGTGGTCATCCCAAGGCGATCAAAACTCGGTGCCATGAAGCATTGAAACTTTCTCTTCAACATGAGAAGGATACGTCCATAGGAAGCTGAAGTGTGCAGCGAGTTCAGCATGTTGCTAGGCCTTGAGGGTACAACGGGGGCTATATTGACGTGGTGTCGCAATCTCGCAAATGCATTTGCGAGAGGCAGAATAATGCACAGTTTGTTCAGCAAGGCGGAGTAGTTGCTCCAAAACTTTCAGAGAGAATGAAACGAAGAGAGAAGTTGCTCCAACGGGACAAATATCCAGGAGGGATAAGTCCCGACTCTCCAAAGGGAAAACCATGTGCAACGGACCACACATATTGAGAAGTACCTTAAAACAATTTCACAAGGATCAACGGACCGAGCGAGTGACGAGGAGTCGTCACATGATCTCGCTTGAGACAATGCATTGGAGAATGCATTGTGAGATCAAGTGGGGGAGCGACCCAAGGCAACACAAGATGAAGGTACACTTAGAGTCGATATGGAGATCAGACTCAACGAAGGGCTAACTCGTGGAATGGTGGGCGCGAGGGCCACCATCAACTCAATGTAAAACAAGGAGCGGAACAACTTGGGTGACTTGGCAAAGTACCCAAGCCGCATGAAGGGAGCCAACATAGAAGATGGAACATGAAGCGGAGGCACAGAGCTTTCCTTGGACAGAGGTCAAGGACATGAACTCTTGCAAAGGCAAGAGCGGGATCATGTCGTTCCATAGGTCCTTCATTCTGATGGAGACGACTCATCTTGCATGGTGTCAAAGACGAATGGAGCTTCTGGGCACATGCACCTTATCTCGAAGAAGCATTTGATGGAGGAACTAAAGTGACTCAACTTGTGGAGGCGAAGTTGGGTTCAAAAGACCTTGACACGGGGCAAGAGGAAACAAGGGCGGGTACTCTTGAAGAATATGCCATAGTATTACCATTCAAATTGCCATGAAGAGAGCGGTGCACAACGGAGATTGTGCTAGTAAGGGCAGATGCCCAGAATCCAAACAATGGTGCACCAATTTCAACGAAATCGATGAACTTCAAGAGCAACTAGGCGACAGACTATCCTAGAGCAGTGCTTCATCTGGGTGTGACCCGAGAGCGAGTGGCCGCAGGTCGATCGCCAAAGGAACGAACACAATCGAAGGTGGAAGAGGCCCTACGATGTGTTGGCAGAGGCTACACATAGAGGGATCATAATCCGAGTTCATCCCACAAGTATTAGAATGCAATGGAGATATCACCAGGTGGTGACATGGTGCAGCGGATCGTTGTGGAACAGTTCATGGCAATACGGTACATACGAATTAGTCCCGTGAGGGACGACTATATCATACGAAGGTATGATCGAGAGCTACTAGGAGCTCCACTTCGATGAACAACACGATGGCAAAAAGGTTATGGATTCAAGGAGTGAAAGTCATGGTACCACAGAGGCAGATCTTCTGTGCGTGCATCGAATTTTGCATCGGATAAAAACCTTGGTCATTAGTATATGGGGGCTATGTACCACTGAGGAAAAAGTTCGAATGCAAGTACCAATGCGTCCCATGGGAGGGACTTGATCATGCAGAGGTATGATCAGAGCAGCTGGAGAGTTGGACTGCTCCAGAGCTCATATTTGCTTAAGGGAGCCCGACAAGTCAGAGGACAAGGCCGAGTAAGCGAACGTTGCTACCAAGGAAGTTAAGGATAACAATATCGGTGCGAACCCTACAACATGATGGCAGAGGCCATACATGGGAGTTGCAGCCTATCTTTCCATCGACTAAGGGGAACTGCTTAGAGAACACAAAAGTGTTGAAGCAAGGGGTCGAAAGGAGCGAGGAAGCGACAACAAGTCTAAAGGGACTTAGCTACCCAAAACCAAGCATCGGTTAGACTGGAGGTGGACTTGGAGGAGTGCCACCGAGACATATCTACCGATCATGAAGAAAGGGATACAGATGTAAAGCGACGGATAGTAGGACCATGGGCATGGCAGCGCTATGGTATCGCAGAGGCGAGAATTCTATGAAGTCATCGATCCCTTGCTCTCATGGGGGGAGAGCGCTTGGTCGTGAAAGGGGCCGAGGAGGTGGAGAATGTGGAGGCAAACTCCAAGAACCAAGATAAGACTGAAGGGCAAAGGCCAAGGAACTTCGTAAGACCGGTGTCAACGAGCTTCTCATCAAGATAGCCGAAAGTGGACTTCGGGTCATACAAGAGTGCACGACCAAGGAACGAAGTAGGCAGTACGCGGTGTTGTACCTTTGCTACTCAGTGGAGTAGGCGACAGGGTTGATAGAGAAGACAGTACAATCCCAGAGGCGACCAAAACTATTAAATACTTAATCCAAGTTGGGGTGAAAACTTCCTGCATTCCAGAAGTTCGATGGCATTGAGAAGGTGAATTACAGTAGCTAACTCAATGCAATGAGTGCAAACACTCGATGCTCCAGAAGTGTGAGCAAGGAGCGGGCGAAGGCTAGTAACCAGCTCGATACATGGAGTTCAACCCTCGAGGAGGCAAGCGAAGTCAAGTAACCTTCGCCTTCTCAACTCTTAAGAGAATGGGCGAAACCGAGTACCCCAATTCTTTTATCTATCCAGCAGATGAGCTCTGCACATGTTCAAAGACCCTTCGAAGAAACCAAATGGAAGACAATAGTTGTCAAATCTTCACCAATAGTGTTCAGTGCTACTAAGAGTAGATTATCCGTTTCATTTACCAACATAATGTCAATCGAAAGCGGAAGTGATGCGAACCTACTTGGAAGTGACAACTAAGTGAAAGAAGAGTCGATGGACAAATTTTGTGGAGGAATGACCCAAAAATTTTAAAAGTTTGCGAGACGATGCTCGTTAAAGCTCCAACAAGCATCCACCCAGTTCAAGCAGCATGAGGCATTTAAGAAACTAGCGCATAGGAAAAATAGTCTTTTACTTCATCTGAATGATCTGTAGGAACCAACAGGAATCAACACAACTCAGCCAACCACATACTAAAGTCAGAGTCATTGGTGACTTGAAACAACATGGCAGATTAAAAGTTCGATTACTCAACAACAGCAACGGAGAGCAACTGGGAGCCAAGAGGCGCATTGCAACTGGAGCAGAAGATTGAAGACTCAGTAAAGCCGAGGAGTTGCAGTGTCGGTAAAGGCTTCAACGAGGACGTCGAAGGAATAAGTAGGGGAAAATGTCACGGACAAAACTATAAACAGGGTGTTTAATGTAATGCTCATGTATGTCCGTATTTTTTGGTTTGTTCATGCTTTACACAACATGTAGAGGGACGATCGAAGGCTTAACAGCCCCAATTTAGTTGGGTTTGGTAGTCATTTTAGGCTTGTAAATAAAGGTTGTGTCATGTGGACACTTGTGGGAGATTTCAGTCTGTAGTGGACCATTTGGACCCTTGTTGTGCAACCATTCAAAACTTGTAATGTCTGTTTGTAATTTGCACTAGCTATGAAGTATTTTCTAAAATGATTGCTTGTGGATCCCGAGTGAGGCATTTTCTCTAACCCGTTTTCTCTTTTGTAAATCCTAAGGGACCATAGGAGGTTTTGGGGAGGCTGTCCTTTGCAGACGGACACGCAAGAGTGATGCACGACTTACGCAAAACCAGCTAAGTCCATGATAACGAAAAGACAAAAAGAGATGCTTTGTGCCTCATGAGCCAGGTACAACAGGTTTACTAGTCAGTGCAGCTCATACTGGATCAAACAAAGCAAAAACATCCAATCCACAACCCAATTGGTTGTTGGACCAATAAATACCAGCTCATATCAACCAGTGACGATGATATTTTAATCTATGGTCAAGTCAAAGTAATCCAATAGGATGCTAATAAACAAACAATGGACTAACAAAAGATATAATAGTTCCAAAATAATTTAGCTTATAGGCAAATGGCATTATGTCAACTTTTACAACCATTAAGACATAAAAAATATTCTTTTTTTTTTTCCAAGGCAATATATGCAATCATATAAGGAACATGGAGACAGAGAAAGCAATAAGGGATTAAAATACTACCCAAAGCTTCCATAATATGAGTGCTCCTGGATGGCCATTATTTGAACAGCATTATAACCAAGCCTTTGGATTCGAGGCAGCACATCATCCCTAAAGCTAGCATATGTGTTTATCTTTGGCTCCTGCATATGACCATAATTCAGTTACTGAAGTGGAACTTTTTTCATGTTGTAACTAAAACAAAATATCAACTCAATTGGAGTATCTACCCAACAATACCAAGTATATTCTACAATCCCTTCTTACAAGGAAAGTAGCTTTGTCTAACCTCTTTAAACGAATGTCCACCATTACGACCAGAATAAAACAAATACTTGTATAATGCAGGTATAAAGTAGCATTATTGATATTCTGTATCATCTTTGGCACTCCAAAATATCAATCAATAATCTAAGTGTGATGAAACAAAAAACAAAGACAGAGCTTCCTGTAGCTACTGCGTTCTTTAGAAGCAAAAGGCAGTCAATCTAAACTGAAAAGATGCTTTAGCAATCCTTGAAAGCAAAACCTCAAATTGGACTGTATTGAATGAACCTGGGCACTTGATTCAGGGAGTATCGCATTTAGAATGTGAAAACTACCATGCTCACCATTTCAAATCCTTCTTCTCTCTCTTTTTTAACCCAAGTTATGTATTCAAACTATGTAATTTTATGAAAACTTCAACATTGAGTATGTGCAGTGATTGAAGACAAAATGGAGAGGGGAAGAGGACTCGTGCAACTCACATCATTATTTTGCAAGTCAATTTCTTGCATGAATTTTTTTTTCGTTCTCATCATTCTATAAGCTTGGGACAATTCATAAATCCTAGAGATGAGAGGTTTTGATAATAACTAGGACAAGTTGAGGTGAAGACCACTATGGGCAAGAACTTCATATTTAATAGAGACAAAATGAGATATCACTAAAAAGGTGAAGATAACTAATTATAGAAACATCATACTTACAAAAAATAACAAAGGGTATACAAATACTGAATTTGCAGATCATTATTATTTTCAGTCTAAAAAAAACGGATTCTTAGACTGTATATCATGCACTTCTATACATCAGCAAGAAGAGGCAATATGCAACTTGAAACTGCATCCTATAGGTCACTAAGGTAAATTAAAAAAACCAGTACAAAAGTCACCATTATCAATGAGAGGGTGAAATCATACCGGACTACTCATTCCAACATGTGACTCATAAATGCGCAATGATTTTGGAGCTTTTGGTTGAGCATGTTGGAAGACATACTTATCCTGTAGATGCATTTAAAATGTTTTAGGAAATAAATAGCTGCAGTGCTGCACAAAAGACCTCTATCCAACCAGAGCTCATATGGAAATATAAGCAATAAGGAAGCAATTGCACTAGTGTCACTAGAAGTAATTAAAAGAATCATACCAGTAATATTAAAATGACAATGATAAGGAATAGCAGAAATAGCATCTGTACCTCTTCAGGTGGATCATAGTATATTCCATTGTATGGTATTTCACCTGGGGCTTGTACAGAAAATTTGATCCAGGCAGGAATGGAATCTTTGATGCCGGATGGAGTATCCATGCGTATCTATCATGTATTTTTAGCATTTAATAACCAACAAGATCATTGTACTACCATTGTCCCATATATGAAGCAAAAAATTAGTATGCTACTATGCTTTGCACTTGTGCTTCACATATTTTGATAATGAACAGCTCAACATACAAACATGATTAGCATTAGCAATCACATAAAGAACGAATAAAATGCATCTCCTATAGGCATTCCAGTACTTGAAATTAAAAGGACAGCTAAGGATGCTAGTTCGAGTAGAAACAAGGAATCTCAAGCATGAACTCACATGGTCATGTTTTGTACTTCCTGAAAGACTAAAAGCTAGAGAGAAAAAAAACTTGCTTTTTCTTAATAATAGTGCTAAACTGCTAATATGGTTCACAATTAATTTTTAACAACTTTGATATCCTAGCTTAAGACCAAGTCGTGTTTAAAACTTTAATGATGAAAAGTTCGAGAACAAATCATAAATATTTCATATTGTTGATCTATTTGAGTTCAGCTACTGATTTCCAGTTTCCGATTAGCAAATGTTTTGGTGCTACAACCAGAGTGGATGGTATAAATCACAACTGAAAATTCAAAGGTAGCTGTGTAGCAGGGGAAGATTTACCGAGAAAATCAAAGAACTAATTAGTTAACTGTAATAACATTTGCACCCTGGAGATCTGTGTTTCATGCAAGGATTGTAATTTCGGTCCGTACCGATGTATCGAGCCTTGCTTGGTACGGTATGCATCAATACGGCAAACCTTGGTTTCAAGGTCTCTAAACATAATCATCTAACAAAGATTTATGGTGCACAGCAACTACAATTGTCAGTAATACCTTAAAAAGCAAGGTTAGTCATACCGAAGTATACCACTCGATATAGACGATACATACCGATCCGACAAGGGACTGGTACGAGTGGTACATTAGTACGCCCATATATACTATGTGTCAATACGCTTAGTATGGCTTGGTACAGCTCGGTACATATCGTACCGATAGCTAGTCAGTACACCGGTACAGACCAATAATGCGAACCATGTTAAAAAGTACTTTGTCAGTTTGTCCTAAGTGGGGCAAAAAAAAATTTAACCCATGGAATTTAATCCTTCATTCTTAATACAATGAAAAACATGGCCAGGACAAAAGCTATAGGGTAAAATGACCCCCATGATGTATCATTCACATGTTTAATTATATTTCTTAGTTAAAAAAATTAAGGTGACTTTTCAAGTGGATTCCAAGTAGTTTGTTAGTCAACCTATAATTGCCAATAATTAAATCTAAGTAACAGATGTCTTTGATTAAAATGTCCCTAATGTCACGAACCTAGTTGGTTTTGCTTAAGTCGTGCAACATCTTTGCGTGTACGTCCGCAAAGGGTTAACTCCCCGAAACCTCTTATGGTCCGTTAAGGACGTACAAAAGAGAAGATCGGTTAGAGGAAGCGTTTTAACTTGGGATCCCACAAGCAGCAATTTTAGCAAATACTTTATAGACAATGCAAATTACAAACATAGATTTCGTAAGCTTTAAACAGTTCAAGGTGGTCCGCCGTGGTCAAAAATCCCCACAAGTACCCATATGACACTACTGCAAAACAAGATAATGTAACAGCCCTAAACACTACCACAAAGGCCCATCTAGCCATATGCCACCGGAGTAGCTCCTAAATGCAGTGTTGGCTGACACTCCACACCACTCTGCAAAGCTAGAAAATCTCTAAAATTGCTACCTGGATAGCCTATTTCTGGGCAATTTTGCCTTTGCATGATGATTGCACACAACCTGAGTTTACAAATCTGAAATAGCCACAAAAGCTAACAAAAATAGAGCTGTTAAACCTACTGTAAGCCCTTTACATATTGTGCAAAGCATGAACAAAACCAAAAGGCATGGACATACACGAGCATTACATCGAATACCTTATTTACAACTTTGTCCATATATTCTCCCCTACTTATTCCTTCGACATCCTCGTCGAAGCCTTTACAAACACTGTATCTCCTCGCCTTTGTTGAATCTTCAATTTTTTACTCCAATTGCAACACGCCTCTTGGCTCCCAATTGCTCTCTGCCATTGTTGTTGAGTAATTGAACTTTGATCCGCCACGCTACTTCAACTCGCCAATAACTCTAACTCTGGTGTGGGGTCGATCGTGTTGTGCTGATCTTTGTTAGTTTCTGCGGATCCTTTAGATGAAAGTAAGGACCTTCCTTTTATGTGTCAGTTTCTCAAATGTCTCGTGCCGCTTAAACTGGGTGGATGTTTATTAGAAATTTAACAAGCATTGCCTCACAGACTTTACAGTTTTTAAAGTCTTTCCTCTATAAAATTTATCATTGATTCATTTTTCACTTAGTTGTCACCTTCAAGTAGGTTTGCATCACTTCCGTTTTCGATTGATATTTTGTTGGGAAATAAAGTGGACAATCTACTCTTGGTAGAACCGATCACCATTCGTGAGAATTAAACAACTATTGTCTTCCACTAAGTTTCTTCGAAGGTCTTTGAACCTGTGCAAAGCTCCTCTACTAGATAAATAAGAGAACTATGATACTCAGTTTCGCTCATTCTCTTAAGAGTTGAGAAGGCAAAGGTTACTCGACTTCGCCAGCCTCCTCAAGGATTGTACTCCATGTATCGAGCTAGTTACTAACCTTCGTCTGCTCTTTGCTCATACTTCCAAAGCACCTGAAGTATTTGCACTTCTTACGTTGAGTTAGCTACTACGATTTGCCTTCTCATTGCCATCGAACTTCTATAATGCAAAAAATTTTGCTTGAAAGGAGCAACATTTCATCCCGATTTAGAGCAAGTCTCTAATAGTTTTGGTCGCCTTTGCTATTGTATCATCTTCTTCATCATTTTTGCCACATATTTCTTTAAGTAGAAAAGGTGCAGCACCACGAATTGCCTACTTTGTTCCTTGGTTGAGCACTCCTGCATCAACCCGAAGTCCCCCACTATTCAAAAAGTACATAGCTTTTTGAATAATATTAAAATGTTAGTTGATTATTTAGAGTTACATATTAGTAACTGTGACATTATAAGGAGTTATTGTATTTGAAATAACACAAACAAAAATTATCTGACCTAGTACCTGGTTATCTGAATATGTCTTAAGAATTATAATGTTACAAATATTTTGTTAGTTACTTAAGATTACATACTGGAAATATTGGCATCATAAGGAGTCACTGTGCTTAAATTGCACTAGAGTTAAACAAAGATTAGTAAGACCTCGTGAGGCACCTAACTCACAACTTCCAATTGGTCAATTTATATTTTATACGCTAGTTTACATACAGCCCAAAGCTAAAGTTTTGTGGATTACATGAGCTAAGATAATAATAACACAACTACATCATAATCAAACACTATGGAAAGGAATTTTGCTTTGCATCCTTATGTTTGACATTCTTCCAAGTTGTAACAAAGGCTCACAATTTCGCATATTGGTACTACATTGGTGAGGGTTCAGACTGGTACCAGTACATACTGAGTCTAAAAAATTAGAAAACTGAAAAGGTACAAAAATTGCCTGGCACAGAGCTTGTACCACCCTAGACCAAGCAGTACCAGCCCTATAACAGGTGTATCGAGTGGTACAGGCCCTGTACCAGCCAGTATAGGTGTGGTATTAGGCATACTGCCCGGTTTACTTGGTCTTCTGTGTAGGGTATCCTGCCTGTAAACACAGCTTGTATGGAACTGTTCTAGGCGGTACTGTAAGCTTGCTTCTAACAGTTAAGATCTCCTTTAGAAACACAGGTATTTTATTCAACAACAGCATAAGAATATAACCAATAAAGCTAACATGAAAATGCAAATGCATATTGATTTTCCACTCATAATCTACAATAACATACAATGTTGGACATACAAATACCTACTGCATCGGTTGATAATGATACAAAAAGGACATGCCACTGGTCAACGCTGATAAAGATGCATGAAACAAAATGCCACCAGCCCAGGATCGAGGGACACATGAAAACAACATGCCACACATATTTGGCTGGTACTTATCATGCCAAGGCAGAGATAGACCACAACCATGGAAAGTAGCATGTAGATCTTTGTCATAGGTTTCCACATCAATCCATGGTGGCATGCAGATCATCAAGCAGTAGTATGGTTGGCATGCCATGGCTTGAGCTTGTATAGTGTTATGTGCCAGTCATGGATGAGTCACTTGTTCACAATTGACATCTTTCCACATTCTCAGCATGGTACATGAAACATGCCCGGACATGAATAATGTGGTACCAATTGTTGCAAGAAAGCAAAGAGGAGAATATAGAACATGTACTTGTAGATACATCCAAGAATCCAACCAAGATCCAAGGGAACAAACATTTACATATGATACTAGTTATTGCAAACAAGCAAAAACTATTATGAGTACTTATCACTGTATCAGTTTATAAGAGCAGCCAACTATAGAACAAACCTTTACACGTGAACCATGAGGAATAGGTGGTGAGCCATCTGCATTATTAGGTAGAAAGACCTCCCAAACGCCATACTCCTTCTGAACATGATGAATCAATAAATGTCAGCAAACAATACCTAACATATGAAGCCCATATGCGAACAAAAGCTGGACATGAATTTTGCAAGATAACACCTTAAAATAACCATGTATATGAAATATACATACAATTCAAATGATGGTTAGTGAGAAAGAACTTAAAAGCTTCATTTCTATAACTTTGAACAGAAGAGATACTAAACAAATCAGCATAAATTTTAACAGTAAGCCCTCCAGTATGGTTTAGCTAGCTTCAGTATTTCCATAACCAGTATAGATACCATGAAAAAGAACTATGTCATAAAGAAGGTGAAAAAAATTTCACTCATCGACTCTTTAAGATAAATTTTTACTGAACAAAAAATTTAGCTTTAAAGACAAAAAATTGAGCCAGAATACTGCAAAGCACATGATATAAGATTATGCAACTTTATTACTCAATTTACAAAAAAAGATATCATAATCCTGAAGTGAAATAAATTTGGTGGCAAATCACCATACCCGAGTCATTACATCTGCATTGGGGTTCCAATTGTTAAAATCTCCTATGAGGGTCGCCCACTGAAACTCAACACCGAAGGATTTAGAAAAGGTATACAGAGAATGTAACAAAAGCTAAAGTGAAGAAATTCATAATTTAGAATTGGCTGATCCATATGAAACGTGGACATAAAACATGGCATAAACAGGATACAGTACTGACATGCAAAAAAAGCAAATCTTATTAAAGTAGAAAGTAAAATACACATGACAAATAATAGATGTATATTTTTATAGAAAATTGTAATTGTACAATATTGACAATCTATGATCTAGAAGAAACAATAAGATCATTTATTTAAGTAGCCAATATTTACAAAAGCATTTGAAACACTTATAAAAGATTATAAAGTCAAAAGCCGTATTGTTTATAGATTGCCAATATTTTATGACTTGAAATCAAGTATTTGATCCAAGTGTCCAACACAGACAGTAATACAAATAAACGAGATGGCACAACTGGCCTATATTTTTGAACTACCCAACACACCAGGTAAGTGTTTGATAAGCATCAGAATCCAAGACAAACACAATGTGGACATAGAATGCATTTTAAGATAAACTCCGTTCTTTACAGTCACTCCTTAACTAAGTAATTAAGTTCTTATGTACATTACAAAAACCTCATAGTTATTACACATGTCGTGAATGGTGAAACAGAATGCTAGCAACCTGCCAAGCAAGCTCTGTTTATGCATTTTAACTGCTAAAAGTATGGTTTAGCAGAAAATTCTTAAATTTAACTGAAGAAAGCTAGCTGAACACTTTCCTAGTATAATTCAACCTAAATATAAGGACTGGCATGTTATGTTGCTCCTGCATCATGAAAAATCTTCACAAGCATCCAGTGTTAGGCATAAACATATACACCAAGCATCAAAGAGTTTAACTAACAAACCCAAGAAAGCAAGTTGTCAATTCATGATTATATCAGGGCGGCAAGGTAGCAAGGCATAAAACTAGAAGATAGATCCTTTTAAACATTTACCAACCTTTGCTCCAGGTGCCCACTCCCGATAAGTGATGCCATTGGCACTAGAAATTGAGCAAAAATGAAGAATTGAGTGATTTAACAGAAATGAGTGCAAGAAAGAAAATATTGAGTGCAACATCAAACAGCAACAAATAAGTTGAGACAGTAACTAATTTGCAAATATTAACTATTACAAACGTTAAATTTTTCTAGTTGAGAAAAAGAACATTAAAATTTGCAGTAAGTGATAGTGTGGTACCATCATTTTATAGCATCAAACTATAACAAAACATTAACATTTTCTATTTGGTAAAAGAGCAGAGTATAATAAAATTAAAACTTCATAACAAAAATCACTATACTCGACATTGGACAATAGTAATTAGTATATGAATCACAATGAGAATACCCTGGGATAATAAGTGATACACTTATGTTGTAAGATAAGGAGACAAGGGACATATACAAGCAACTGTACAAAGTTCTCAATAACTCCTAAACTTTCCTATTAGGGATTTTATGATCTTCCAGAACAGAGAGAAAAGTTGCAAAGCCATACATTATTGTGTGCATTTGTGATTGTAAAGTACAATGAAAAGTGTATGAATCACAATGTGAAGTATATGAAACACAATGAAATATATTATGTGCGTTTGTGATTGTAAAGTACATTTTATCCATTTTGTTCTTTTTTCTGTAGAGTTATTTCCTGTTAAGTCAACTTTTCGCATGTGAGCTTATTTCTCATTAAACATCAACAAAAATGAGCACAACAATAAAATAGTACAAAATGATGCATGATCTGAACTATCTCTAAACATGTGGAGACAGAAATGGATCTCAGAACCTCAAAGTTTAAGCAAGTATAGCAAGAGCCTATATTATTTATTAGATTTCTGAGACATATATATATGTATATATATGTGTATGTATACATAATATTTACATGTATGTATACATGTATATGTATATATGTATACATACATGTATATATGCATGTATATATACATATATATACATGTATGTATACATGTATATATATGTATATATATATGTATATAAATATATATATAAAGTACCCACATAGATACTAGATAGTAACAAGCATCACTTTCCATAACATCCATCTGATCCCATCAAAATTTCCCTTCTTTTTCTATTCTCTTCTTTATGAGTTACAAAACATAGATATATGAGTAAAATAGTGAATTAAATCAATACGAGTTGAGGTCCTCATGCCTCATACTCAGGCTAGGGACCAAAAATAATTCTAGTGGGTTTCATTAAAATGGCATACTGTGCTGTATCCAAGGTTTGAAAGATCGTACCGTACGAGCGTTTCGATATTTGCTCGGTATGGTATGGTACGATACAGTATACCGAACGATATATATATATATATATATATATATATAATTCAACGATGTCGCCTATCTCTTCTCCCCAGGCGGGGCGACATTGCCAAGGCGACATCGCCTCATTTTTATATATAAATTTTTAAAAAAAATATTTTTTATATATATAAAAGATTTTTTATATATAAAATATATTTATAAAAGGCAACGTTGCATCGCCTTTTTCGACGACGTCGCCAAAAATATATATATATATATATATTAAAATATTTT